CCGCGGCCGAGCGGGGGAAGCCCGCCCTTCGCCAGCCTCCGCGCTGGCTCCGAGTGCCCCGCTCCGTGGGAGAGGCGCGAGCTCTCACAGCAGGAGGTTCCGGGTGAGCATATGCCCCGAGTAGGAAAGCCTTGAGCTGGAGGGATGTGCGAGGGGAGGCAGAGGTGCGTGGTGCCCAGGCACGACCCCCTGCCCGGGCAGGGGACACCCCTCTTCCTCTGACCCCGAACAGGAGTGGTGTGAGGACGCTTTCGTGAGGGGTTTGCCCCAGAAATATTTTGTGGCATTTGCAGTGATTTATAAATGCGAGCCTCTGTCTTTCCGCTCTGGAGTCCTGCCAATCTGGGGCTTTTAAAAGCACAGCGATTTGCCGCATTATGTAACTAAAAGTCTTGAAATCTTCCTGTTCCCGGCCCCTCTGGAGAAGGGGTAACAGTGCTTGTGCATAGGACCTAGGAGATGGAACGGGTTTAGTCTTCCGTGGGATCTGTTTCGAGAGGATACAGTCCTCGTTGCCTAAGAAGCCTCAATTCGTGCTCTCGCCATTGCTGTGCAGAGGAGGGTTGCTGTAGGCTACCCATTCCTGTGGATTAGTCAGGACATTTACGGGGAGCAGATGTGATACTTGCAGTCATTACTTGGTCTCATCAGCCTTAATTACTGCAAATACAGTTATTTTATTTCCTAATAGGGCAAACTGTAGCTGGCTGCCTGGCAGCTGTGAATTTGATTTCCAAACACGTCTTACACGTTGCAGCTCTTCCAAAACAGAGCTGTAAATGTCAAAACTATGTTCTGGGTGTGTTTTTTTTTTTCCTTTTTGCAAAGGGGAGGGAAGCTTTCCAATTGAACTGGCTGCCTTACACGTGCTTTTTTTCTCTCTTGTTTGAAACTGCTTCTGTGTGGGGGCAAGGAGGAAATCAGCAAGAAGCCTTAATGCGGCTGAAGAAAGAGCATTCTAAAACTGGTCTTTCTTAATAAGGATTTTCAATGAGTCAGGGAAAAATGTTGTGGCATGCAGAGCTCATCATGTAAATCTTCTGGCGTCAGGCTTTGGGAATCTTGCTTCATGGTCTCAAACCTTGTTCAGTTCAAGATTTTTCACTGTGCCTCAGCAATGCAAGAGAGATCATGTCTAAGCCGCCAAAAGTCTTTGAGAGAGGTGCCACCTGAGTGCCCGCAGGAGGAGGAATGCTGCTCACAGGGAAAGAACAAATAGGTGAACCAAGCCGCAGTAATTTCGGTGCAGTCGAGCTCCTTGGGATTGGTGGAAGTATTAAACCTGTGTGTGTCTCAGGAGCAAAAGGAAAAAATCCCCAACACCTCATCAGCACCCCCCAGCTTTTGCTTTTGATAGCTCTTATTGCTAGTAGTTTTAATTAGTGCTAACAAGTAGACTGTATTCTTTGCTGGTAGATTTTATTGCCAACAACTGGTAGTCTCATCTTTTAAAAATGTTTCAGACAAATCAGTGTAGTTAGATGATACTTTAAAGTTCACCGAATGCTGTGAAAGCTCTGTATGACTCAAGGCAAGAGGTGGCTGGAAACTCCAGCATGCAGCCTGTGCGAGGAAGTGCTGTTAAGCAAAACCTTGTGTTCACAGCGGCTTTTCAGAAGGAAGGAGCATGATGGGTGGGTGGGCTGCTCCCCATGCCAAGAGGCCAAAGGTACCTGGTGAGCCTCTGCAGGGCCCAGCACTTTCCTCCCTGGCTGCTGGCGCCCATGGGCGTGTGCTGGCTCCGGGCTCTCCTGGGGGGGCCTGCCTGCAGCCGGACCCCACTGGTGTGGGCTCGGCCCGGTGTCGACTGGGCTGCTCAATGTGGCTGCAGTCCTGGGGGTCTGAGAGGGGAATCTGGTCCTGTGGCTCCTGGGCATAGTTCAGCCGTGGACGTGCTTGGGGCAGCGTCTTGTAAATGATTCCTTTGTTGGAGCGGCAGGGTGGCTCGGATCTGCTCGTGATGGTCATGTGTTGCGCTGGCCAGGATGCAGGAAAATACCCTGCTAGCGAGAAAATCGGTGTCTGGGTCAGGCTAAACCAGTCTTAGCGGCTTAAGCCAGCCTCCTGTGCTGTCCTTCCTCTTGCCCCGTGTGGGTCTGAGGCATCACCGGAGCGTGTCCAGGTGTCGGACAAACCTGCTGCCAGATGGGGTAGCTGTGCCTCCAGTGCCAGGAGGGAGCAGGGGCTCCCTGCGGCTCGGGGCCACTGGCTGTGCTTCAGCCGGGGCGCCTGGATCCTCGGATGTGCATCGAAGTGATGGACAGCGAGCGAAAACAAGGCGGGCGCCCGCGGTACTGCGTGGTGTGCCGAGGGCACGAGGGGACGTGCCAGGTAGATGCTGGCGGGGCAGCAGCCGTGGGGGAGATGGTAATCGCCATGAGCCTGAATGGATGCACGCTGTAAATGGCAGGTTGCACCTCCCTGAGCCAGCATGCTGCTTTGAAGTTGTTGCTGTGCCTGGTGTGACCTGGAGGAGCTCTGGAGAAAGCTTTCCTGCTCAAAGGTGGCTTTTTCTTGAAGTGGAAACTGGAGCAGCAGAGCAGAGAACTGCAGTGAGGAGTGGGCTCTGGCAAAGGAGCCTGATGTGCCCCCCTTGGCTGATGGCCCTTTGTATGGGCGAGAGGGTGTCTCTGGCTGCAAGGCCGGGGAGGGCCATGGGGTGTCTGCAGGGCACGCAGGAGTTCTGGGGACTGTAGCGATTCCTGTTGCTTTGCATATTGTAAACCACGTTGGTGAGCAGCTGCTCTGGTTGCATTTCCTCCCTGGGACGGCTTGTGCTGCTCTGCTGCCTGAGGCAGCCCTACTTTTCGAGTAGCCAGAGCTCCGGGGCGTGATCCAGCCGTGCTGCAGCGCCGGGGAGGCATGAGCAGCCTGACCCTGCTGGTCTTCGCATGGCTCCGAATCGGCCTCTCTAAGGGGATTCCACACTTCAGCAAGCTGGGATGACATTTCCCCATTGATTTTGTTTTCTAATACCTTCCGGTTTTGAGCTTTTAAGGTGAATTGTTTTTAATGCTTGGGTGCTTTTGTGAAACCTGCTGTAGCCTTTTCAGTAGCAGAGGAGGGGTTAGTCTGCTGGGGCCAAGCCTCTGGGGAGCCCGGCTCTGCCGGGGCTGGGGCTGCTCTGGGCAGACCCACCTCCCCACCCCGGGCAGCGCTGGCAGTGTGTGGGAGCCTTTGCCGGTCACTGTTCAGGCTAAGTTTAGCCACAGCCCGTGACCTTCAGGGCCGGCCAGGCTGGTGGGTGTGCTGTGACGCCTGCCTGCTCTTTCTTCGCAGAAATTTAGGTGTCCTGGCTCGTGCGTGTGGACTTATTTCACCAAGTTTGTCTGCATTTAATAACCTGGGTGTGCTGCTCCTGCTCCGGGGCTTCCCCAGGTTGCCTAGTATGCCATGCAGTGCTGGGATCATGCTCCTGGAGAAGCTGCAGGAGCTCTGCCCTGGCCACTGCCCTGCTCAACCCTCTGCAGGTCCAGCCCCGTGCTGCCAGTAGCCCTGCCTGCTTTGCGGCTCTGCCCTGCCTGCTGTTGGCAAGGACGCTGCCCGCCCTTTTTAGCTTAGGACAGGGTATCATGTCTTAAATTTGTTGCTTATAAATACCTGCTGGCCAGAGCTCTTAAAGGCCAGCTGCAATCTGAGCATGTTTTTTGGGGGATGGCCTTATGAGGCCAGTGTACTGGTGAGCACAGCTCTCCCGGAGGTGGTCCGGAGCACTGGTGCCGTGCCAGCCTTGCGAGCAGGGCTCAGGCTGTGCTGTTGCATGCCAGGGAGCAGGGATGCAGCTATCTGCTTTCACCTGAGACAACACTTTGTCCTTTGCAGATCTTTGAACCCCAACTGAGTCATCGCCAGCTTGGTTCAAGATGCCACCGGCCATTGGAGGCCCTGTGGGATACACTCCTCCAGAAGGAGGGTGGGGATGGGCCGTTGTCATCGGAGCCTTCATCTCCATTGGATTTTCCTATGCCTTCCCCAAATCCATCACTGTGTTCTTCAAAGAGATTGAGGTCATCTTCAATGCATCTAGCAGCAAAGTCTCATGGATCTCATCCATCATGCTGGCTGTTATGTATGCAGGAGGTAAGTGGACTGGAGGCAGCAGTACATGTGCTCATGCATTGCAGTACAGAATGCGGCTCTTCTGCTGGATCTGATTTGCACTTTGCTCTAGTGATGACAACCAAAACTTTTCTAAAAGTTGGGGTTCTTTCCTTACGTGAGAGCAAAACTTCCCTTAGCAAGTTTGCTTGAAGGAGGTTGCTCAAAAAGTTCTATTTAATGCCCAGAATGCAAAAACCAGGTTAATCTGTCCTCCTCTGCAAAGCTGTAAGTAAAATCTTTCCGGGGAATTACGACTTGTGTAATTCTGTCCTTGTCCTTGTTACAGTGTGCTGTGGACGCTGTGTCTGCTTCCAGTGCCTGCCCAAAGGCAGGGGGGCCACTGTGCCCGCCGCCCAAGGGGGGGGGGAGCCACTGTGCCACACATGGGAGCCTGCTTATTAGGGTCTCTTTTTAGATAAGACATTAGTTTTTGTTTTATTTTATTATTTTTAATACAGCAAACAGTGGCTGTATCTAGGGATCTGTCCCCAGTTTCTGGTTGGCTCCAGTGGCTCAGCTGTGCTCTGGAGTGCACTGAAACCTGGTGCTGCCTGTTCTTCCTTGCTGGTGCCGAGCAGTGCCGTAGGCAGCTTGTGCTGTTTGAGGGTGGCAGTGTGCACTGGAAGTGCAGAGACATGAGCAGAATAAAGCAAAGCTACTTAAAAGGAGACATCTCCCTTCCCCTGTCCTTCAGAAACTGCTTCTTGGAGTCACACCCAAGCCGTGTGCTTTTGCTTGTCTTTGACTGGTGAGGAGCAGACGGAGTGCTCCCTGCCGCGTGGAGTGCTCCTGGCCCTTGCCTTGCCAGTCTCCAAACCCTGGCGTCTCATACCCGCCTGCAAA